CGTTTCCTGACTTGTTAATTTTAACCATTCTGACTGGTGTGAGGTGGTATCTCATTGAGGTTTTGATTTGGATTTCCCTGATGCCGAGCGAACATCACCTCTTCTTTTCTGCTGCTTTGAACTGTCAATAAATGTTGAATACCCAAATTACAGACCAGAAGAGGATCTTGCCATGATACCTTGGTGTGAGTTTTCATGGCACATATGATATCCTGACAGCAACCTAAGAGTTGAGGAAGCAATTGTTGGGGTGTCACCTGCATATATGTATAGGTTATTAGGCCACAGTGCAAAGTTAAAAGATTCTAATCTTTTATGAAAGCATTACAGATGATCTATTCTTGGAAGTGCTGAGTACTTGAAGCCAGAAATAAATTTGTACACCTGGAGAATAGAGAGAGGTTAGTGTTCTGACTATCATCAAGAGGATAAAGTTTGTTAATATGCTGCTTCGGGAGCAGTTAGTGTAAAACAAGTTTTTTGTCACTGGTGGTTGAAATTTAAAGCTTGATATTTTGGAGATGGAATAGTAGAGGTATCTTTTGAATAATAAAGCATAAAATTATTTTAATGAAAGAGGTCTGGGAACCATTCCTAAAACATGGTAGGGAGTAGAGTTGAGAAGCAAATTAAATCAGAGCCCAAAGGATTTAAGAAAATGGAAGAAGGATGAATATAATGTTGTGGAAAACAAAGTATCTCATGTTTTGTTCTGAAGCAGAAACAGTCCTCACTAAAGTAACAGTAGAAAAGTTTTGTTTTGTTTGCTCCATGCACCAGTTTCTTGATTTTTACCTGTCAGATCTTTCCTACTAAGTACAGATACCTGCTTATAGCAAAATAGCTGTGTATTTGTGTGGGAATTTTCTTTTATCATTAGGACTTTGCAAAGATATGGAAGAAGTTTTAAAGGAATGCTTCACTTCAAGCCATGAAAAGGGAGTTGTGTGTAATTTTTTTTTTCCTTTTTCGGTACCACAATGCTACACTCTATTGTGGACTTCCCTTTCCAAACCAGTCAGAGATTACATTTCTGAAAACTACTATGATTAGCAAAACTATTTTTGGTAACATCAAGCACTCACACAATAAGGCATGGGATAAAGGATTAAAGTATGTAGAGAAATTTTTAAGTAGTATAGAAATTTAGTAAAACAAACTTTAAATGAAAGTTCTGGAAATAAAGTTCTAAAACCTGGCTCTGATAGATGACCTGTCTCTTAAATCACCTTCTTCAGTCGCTCAGAATATATTCTGAGGCACCATGATGTTCTTAGATTTTTCACGAGTTTGTATCATGCGGATTTACCAACATAAAGTTTTTGTTGTTGTTGTTGTTTTGGTCTATGTTTTTTTTTATTATGTTCAGTTAGCCAACATATAGTACATCATTTGTTTTTGATATAGTGTTCCCAGCGTAACATTTTAAAAGTAATCCTTGCTTTAATTTCCACTTAAATTTCCCCTTGTTGCTGTCTTTCAGTTTCATATCTTAGTAAAATGGTCATTTAATACCTTCCTTTTAATAAGTTATCTCAGCACTTTAGACATAATCCTCTATCCAGATATTCTGTTGAGAGTGTGGTGGTTCTTTAACTGGCCCGCTCTGTTTGCACTGCCCTGTAGGTCAACCTGCCTTGCGCTGCCAAGTCTGTGAAGCAACAGGTATTCTGTTGTTTCCTCTTAGAATAGTGAATTGAATTCCGTATTTTTTTTTTTAAATGAGGATTTCCAGTATATGGCATACAAATAAAAAGTAATGATTCATAAACCTCAGTTGAAGACTATAACCTAAGCGTAAATACATACAAAACACTATGAATGACATATTGTGGGTTCTAATACAGTGAGCTTTCAATTCCTTTTCACTATGAAGCTGAGCAAGAGAATAGCCTTTCTTCTGCTATATTCTGGACTCCTCTCCATATGTTGAGCAAGTTCTGCTAATCATCTGTCCTCAGTTGGGGGTGTCTCAGTTTCTACAACTTTGCTCAGAATTTACTTCATTCTTTTGTTAATTTGTGAGGAGTTTACTCCCTCCACCTAATTCTACATGATATCTGCCTCTAATTACTTATGGCAACTAGTAAGAACATACTTCCTGGAATAAAAGAGCCTGAATCTGAACTTATCAGATCTATGACTTAAGTAAGTTCTTTAACCTTTCTCTGCCTCAGTCTGCTCATTTTTAGAATAGCAATAATAATTGTTCTGGCTTCATAGAATTTTCATGAAATTGTTTCATTGTTTCATGGCAGGACCCACCATATTTTAAATGTTTACATTGTTTAATTATGGATAATTGAATAAGTAAAAGGAGTTGTTCATTATAACCCCAGAACTTGAAATGTAGAAGAAACATGAGAGGAATGCAGTGTGCAAGAAAGAGACTGAAACATGTATGTGTGTGACTCGGAATCTAGAATAAGAAAAGTCTCTCCTGAGGAAAAGGCAGAGCTGACCTATATATCTAAAAAACGTAGAAATTTTTTAGCAAAGTGCCAGAATAGTGTAGTTTTCTGCAGTAATCCTGACCATGTCAGACCGAAAGGAATGACCTAATCATTCTTCTAAAACCCTAGCATTTATGATTGTAATTTCTGAGCATCCATTACAAACAAATGGTGGCCCTGAGTTTGAAGACATGTGAAACTGTTCACTTGGTAGCATGCTAGTGAGTCAGTAGAAACCTTTGAATTGGTTAGCCAGCCTTGATGGAACATTTTTATTGGCAGATCCCATGTTGGTTCTTCTTTTCCTTATGCTGTGGTTTTATTAGCCATTATTTTTTTGTTCCACTTTTATGTTAGTCTCTTTCCCTAAGAAAGAAAAGATGAATTGGAGAAGGGGACAAAATAATAAAATAACAATTATAGTAATCATAATAAATTTTAAGTATCCGTTGAGGTCACGAGTTTGAGTAGTATGGTGTCTAGATGAACTGGTTCATTCTCCAGGGCCTTGCAGTCACACTCCTACTGCCGTCGCACCCTGTGTCGGCACTATGAAAAAGAGACTCAGTTTTCATGTTTAATAAAAAGTTTTATCAAACTATGAATTTGACTACCCTGAGAACAGGTTTGTTTGGGGAGGGGGTAGAAGATCTCTTTTGTTTCTTTGAGATTCCAGAGCTGTTGGAGAAGTAGTATTCCATTA